TATAGCCTAAAATTTAAAAATTCTTCTCAGATTAGTCAGCGAAAGCGTTTTAATCTTCTTAGGGCAATCCATTCTTTCTAACCTTGGCTGACCTCTTCCTTTTTGCTATGAAATCAGCTGACTGGTTAAGACTGATCAAAATCAGCCATAAAATAAAAAGAGTTATTTAAATTCAAGCTGCTTCAACTAAATTCCCCTCTCTACAGGCAAGAAATTTAGAAAAAAATACTAACTCAATCAAACCAGCTAACTACAATCAGCACATTGCATTTCAGCCTTCACTGAGCAAATGTTGCCACCTTCGCTCCAAATCTTGATTTATTCATCCGTCAAAAAATATTGAAAGATCAGAGTCTAAATAACTAAGACTGACTTATACAAAATAGAACCTTGAAGGAATTCTTCGTGAACCAAACTAAAACTTTTACAAGTTAAGGACAAAGCTTTATAGGTTTTCATAATTTTGAAGGCGATTTAAAAAGAAAAATTATGCAGAAAACTGATAAACCATTTCTCAAGTGATGAGCTTTGAAAGGTAATTTTATTTACACCTATTAGCAGATTAACGATATGTGAAATGATTGTAGCAACGGTGGAGGAGAAGGAAGTAAATGATAAAGAAAAGAAGCAAAAAGACCCACCGATTATGCAGAAAAATTTTTTGTTGGAGACACAGCTACTTAAAAGTATCACTGTTTTCTTCCGATCAGTCAAGAATTACAGTTTATTTTAACAGCAGTACAGTTAGAGGCAATGATAAAAAAATTATAAAAAAATTGACCCACTAGACAATCTTGCTATTACTATATTAGTACCACCACTTTAATACTCAATTACGTAATTATGGCCTTTTTAAAGCTACCCGATCCAGTTTCAGTTATGCAAATTTCTATCTGTCTCTTTTCTCAATACTTCTTCGATAAGGGATTTGTAAAAATCTAACTCTTTCTTTTAACCTTTCCATTTGTTTTATTTTGTGTCCTGGTCATGGCAGATTCATACTTCTGTCCGATGGTATTGTCTGCTAATGTCACTGAGTAGCCAATAACGATTGTCACAGTTCTTTGGCCAAAACCTCTTTTTAAGCTGGAACTCCAGTAAAATTGCTAAAAATTACTAAAATGGTAGTCATCTATTTTGATCTCATTAAAATTTCGACTAGTTGTTATTTTACTGCTTTAACGACTACAACAAAGTTTCGGAGCTTCATGCTGTTTTAAATGTTTAAGCTTCTGTCAGCAACTGTTACCATTACGTTTGTCCACCATACTATCAAAAAAAAAGGAAAAAAAAGACTGAATACGAAATTTGCCTTTTAACATTAACCATATTCGTTCCTCAAAAAACCGTTACAATAAATTTTGCGTTTTTAGGTGACTAAATTAAAGTGCCCAATTCTTTGCACTTTCACTTCACTGCTATAACCGGTTTATCCTCTGTCGCAACAGAAGTACAGTGAGCTGTCTCATTGTATCTTACTGTCGCTTGAGGTGCAGTCTGATACTTCCGTCCATTACGCTACGGGAGTCCTTGCCTTAAAGAAATGTTGTCAGATTTCTGCAGTTATTGCCGTTAAAACTATCAGTCTATGATATGGAGTACCTGAAATAAAAAATGTTTCACAGCAACGAGAGTGCAGCTACTTTTTTTTTTCTTTTTTTTTTTTTTTTTTT